TGGGCTAGTTTGGGGATCTGTGCACTTTATGGAAGAATGTAAACCTTGCCCCTCATTTAGGAATAATCAGCAATAAATTTAGAACAGATGAACTTAATGGAACTGACTTTTTTTTTTTTTTGCTTTACATATAAATCTATTATGATTACACACAAAATTTTGCTGCATGAATAAAAATAGCCAAGTGAGGCCAAAGAGAAGGTAATAGGACCCCGATTTACCATTAAGTAGGTAATATTCGTTACTCTTTCAACTGCTGCTATTTCCCACTAATATTCCAAAGATGGTTATAGCTCAGTACTCTACCATCGAGTAACAGCAAGGACTCAGGATCCATCAGGTTGATAACCTCAGGACTAAGCTTAAAACTGTTCTCCACCGAGAATTAGGCTGCAGGTAGTTACCATATGGCACTGGCTGTTTTACATTCTGTTCAAAAGCTGTATCTTCCTACGGTTTTCAACATTCCTGAAACCCAAATCATATAAATGGAATTTTAAAGCAGGCTCACTCTGCAAAGATTAGAAGACTTTAGACTCTGTTATTAGTTTTATTAATTTTATAAAGAAACAGCTATTAGCCATATGGAGAAAATCTGCTGTTCATTGTGCAGTTTCTAATTAATATACTTTTCAGATCCGTTTTTTTGAAATAGCAACTTATTGGTGTTTGCTTCATTTCCAATTATTTGACTTAGAAAAATGTACATTTGTAAGAGAAAGAAACGTGAATTTGAAGATTCAAAATGAGAATTGAAACTCTGAATTGTAGTAATAATTGTTGGAGCCATACAACTGAAAACATAATTACTCTTTCATCTTCTTCCCTTTACTCATAGAGTTGATCCTGTAGAATTTGATGGCACCTACTAGTGGCTCACTAGTGCTGTCACCTAAGGATGATGGGGAGTGCTGGGTGTCATGGTGACTGGGGTGTATCTAGTGCCCAGTGCCAAAAATGGTAACATCCCGAATGCCAGGGACAGGTGCACCCAGTGGAGAATTCCATTGCCCCTTCCTCCACGAAGAAACTTGGCTAAACCTGGCAGTTTTAGAGTTCCATGTCTAATTGTTTTCCCCCCAAACAAAATCACCCAAATCAAAAAGATGCATTTGTCAGAATCTCAGCTACACAATCTGAACGTTGTAGGTTTGTGGCATTTATCTTGAATCTCGACTTGTGGGAATGGCTTCTTTCCCTGTAAGAACTCTGGTGGAAACTTGACGAAGCTTAAGTTTACCCTCCTGTTACCCCAACGCCACAATAACCAAAGGAAGACATCACTGAGGTAGCTACAATTCTGCAAAGTGGCCAGCTTCCCTTACAAGGGCCCTTTTCGTACCAATCCCAATGCAGTACTTTCCATAAGTAACCAATGGCAAGAGGTTGCAGGCACGGAGCCCTCACATTTTTGATGCTGTAGGACTGCTGGAGGCTGGGTTTGGCCAGTGATTTTTAACATGCAGCAGATTAGTTAGACTTTAGCATCAGCTGAAGCATGCCATCTTGAACCCCATTAAAATCAAGGAAATGCAGATGGGAGAAGGTTTGGGAGCCAACCAGAAGGACTTCTGTAACTTCATTTTCTGAGTTTTTATTGGAGTGGTAGGAATTTTGTGAAAGGTCATTCATTCTGAGTTAAATATTGATACTTCCAATTGTGATACACTAACCTTGTTGCAGCCTTTTGAAATTAGCAGTCTCACCAAACCACGTATGTAACAGAGCATACGTGTTTCTATAATCAGGTGCCTTTTACTGATTTTGAGTAAGACTGGTTTCCTGTTGAGATATTAAGTATTGCCAGAGGGAAGGATGTTCAGTGCTTTGACTGGGGCGTAGCCTGGCAGCTCTAGATGCAGCGTTTCTGTGATGAAAATGAGTGTCTACCGGGAAATCTGAGGACTAGCCACATTTCCTCTGGTTCCAACTTATTTGCATTCTATGGCCTGTGAGGCGCTTTCTGGCATGTGATTATTTACTGCAAAGTAGAGTTGCAAGCACCTACATTAATTATTTTACATCGTGTGCAGAATAATATATCTTTTCGTGTTAGATACAAGACACTGCACATATTGCTTTTTACACCATTTTAAAATTTTGTACTAAATAATAAAAAATATTTATACTCTTTGAGTGTGAGCTTTGAATAGATGGCATTATCACTTTACTGTGTTTTTTGGTTTTGTTTTTGTTTTTGTTTCTTAACAAAATTTTTCCTCAATTATTCTACTGCAATGTTATTCTGAGGAAGTCATATGCCAAAATCTCGTGCAATGTTTGTATGGAAGATTAAATTTTACTATTGTGTGGTAAGACTACTCAATGGTCGACTTCATCGTTGGAATTTGATATTCCGGCACAAGTCCACAATGTATTCAGAAGTCCAAGCTGGTGTCATAAACTTCATTTTGATGTGAATTCTGCTTTCCTTTGTTTTAAGACTCCATTTTACAATAAACATTTTGACAGTAAATCCCTTTGTGATGTGTTGCTGTGTCCTAGTATATCACATTTTAGACTAGACTCTCGACACTCTTTGAGGTCGTGTGCATGCACATGAGTGCGAGCTTTCCTCTCCTGCAAACGGGTGGAGTGTATGAATTTATAAAGAGACGGGGTTCAGTCACAGGTGGATTTTTTTCTTATCCACCAAGAGAGACAGGAAGACTTGGAACTCTTCCTCCAGCACATGCCCTGACATGTTAACAAGGTACAGGAGACATAAAGGAGACAGCTGGAGGTCATTAACGCTCCTCCCCTGTCCTGCGAAGCCCAAGCCGTCTTCCCCTCCTGCTCTTTGCCAGCCTCTGCAGGAGCCTCCAGAGCAAGCCCCACGCTGAGCCCAGGGCCTTTCCTGGCATCATCTGCAGGAGCCGTCCTCAGAGCACCAGATCGCTCTTCTCTCCTTTTGACATGAGAACCCAAGGTGTTGGTTTTGATAAGTCATTTCATTTACAGCCTTCACCCCAATCAAGAAACACTTATCTATCCATGTTGTTTAGCACAACATTTGGGAATGGTATAAAAATCAACACACCGCACACCCCTCTCCTCCCTCGAAAAGCCAGCCCTGAGGTAGGAAAGTATTCTTGTAACTTAGTCTGTTGTTTCTTGAACTAATCAGGAAAGTTCCCTGCTTCACATTTGTTTCCGTGCTGGGGAAAGGAAATGACATGTTTCTGCAGCTGGACGCAGCTGCCCTGCAAAGAAATAAAACTTGTCATGTGTTCTCTTTGATGAAGCTCCGTTTAGGTCCTCTTCCTCCCATCCTTTTCCTTCCCTCATTATTACAGCAGGTGAGTGCATGTGGCCGCTGATTCCTACACACACCGGGTGTTTCAGAGGAGGGAAGAGAATGCGAGGGGGCTGCGGAGTGTACAGAGAGCATAGGGAGGTATGTCCTTGCAACTGATCTATAACACTCAGACCCTACCCACCCATAGTCACTGTAACCAGTGGGGCTTGTTAAATGCTGCCTGGCCCCAGAGCCAGCCTTGTTTCTCAGACATACACTGCCTCTGGTGCCCTGATTGGGCAAATGTGCCTGCCCATCCCTCCTCTCCCCACCCCACCCCACCCCGCTGCCGGTGTTCTGCCCTGTTGCTTCTCCTCGCCTGCTCTTCTCCCTGCCCTGCCGTGCCCAGCTCAAGCCACTATGCCTTCCAGCTCCCCATCTTAGCCTATGAAAGCCTTCCTCTTCCCTGGCATACCCACAGGCACTGAGCCCTCCACCGTAGAGCTTAGCATTTCAGTAAACACATCCTTTGGTGTTCTTCCTTCAACAGACTGTTCAACAAAAATGTACCAGGTATTGTATGCCAGACACCGGCCTAGGCACTGAGTAAGCCAAGAGGAGGGTGTCCTTTATCCTCCCTGTGGAATTCATACTTATTTTACCCCCCCCCCCTCTTCTTCCCCCCATTTCAATGAAAGGCTCCTGGTCGTCAGAGCCATGCCTTCCGGAGCAGGGTCTGAACCTGCGAGTTCAAAATCCCTGCAGGTTAAACTATTAACTCACCCACCCTCTGACTTTGACCCTGATATCAAAAATAACCAAACTCAGCTTTTTTTTTTTTTTTTTCCCGACTCACCCACACAAAATATTTGTAACAGATTAAAAAGCACTTGGCTACAGTTCTCTCATGAGCAGTTCGACCATCTTGAGAAGTTAAGTTAGTAAAAGCTGACGGCTATAACAAGCCCTAATTCAAGTCACAGGAAACCCAGGTGTTGTTCACATTTTGTAAGGAATTCTTATTTACTCTATGGCCACGGGGCACTTCCTAAAGTGAGGAGCCTTTTGGCTCTGAACATGGGGCCAGCTGAGGTCCTCTTGCAAAGTGAGCTCTCCTGTTTGCACACCGGACAGGAGCGCGCTTGGTTGGTTTCAGTTGGAGCCGCTCTGCAGCCTGGGCCGCTTAGAGCAGTTCCAGTCTCGCTCATCCTTCTTCATCCCTGTCTCCTAATATCTCTTTGTTTGTTTTTTTTAAATATAATGCAAGCAAGACATTGAGTTAAACACTTAGACATTCTCCTGTAAGAATAAGCCCGAGTCGTCTGGTTACCAAACGGTCCCTTTGGAATTTTCATTAATAATCAAGCGATCCTCATGTTGACTGAGAATTCCGAAGAACGCTCTGGCATCTGACAAGTGCCAGGCATTCCTTGACCACCAAGCCCCATTGTGGGATATGAAAGGACTCTTGGTGTGCCAAGTGCGAAAAGAGAAAAATCTCAAGATGTGCCGAGTCCGGCCCCGGCAGCTCACAGAAAGCAGTGGGTTGTTACTGAGCGGAGGATGCACATGGTTGGCTTCTGTGGGCAAAACCTGTGGAGCCCTGAGAACTCCTCTTAGGTCAGGACACTTGTTTCCCGTCCAACCTCGCCCGCAGGAGGAACCAGCCAGAGCAGCAGCCAAGAGCTGGAACAGACCAGAGGGTAACCCAAAAGGACACTGACGATATGCTTGTTCTATTTCATCCCTGTTTCCCCCGCAGCTGCTGCCTTCCTTTGAGATCAGCACGTGGACGGAAGATGACGTGGTAAGCCGCTGCTGCTAGGCCTGGGCGGGTGTTTAATCAGGGTCCACAAGTTACAAACGCCTCAGGAGCTAGAAGCCGACAGGTTCCATGCTTTTCTGTTTTTGAATGCAGTAATGTTTATAATAAGGCCTCAAGAGCAGAGCAAGTATGGCTTCACATCTTATAAGAGCGTTCCACCTCCCTATTCGCTCTGAAAGGTGTCCCAGAATAATATAGGGAATCCCAAGGACTACAGAAAAGGACTGGTCTGGGATACCAAATGAACACACTTAAAAAAAAAAAAAAAAAAAAAAAAAAAAGATCCTAAATTTTCCTAAAATTACCAAGGATGGACTTGAACCACGGTGGAGAAAGATCTGGTAACAGCAGCCCTGGACTGCGATTCCTCTGAATGGGTTTCCTTCCCGCTTTAGGCCAGTTCAAAAGGGACAGGTCCAACTTTGCCATCTTTACTCTGACCTTCCCAAGGAAGAATGGACAGGAGCTCTCAGACATTCTCTGCAGCTGGAGCCAGAGGAGCCCCAGGTTTTTGAGAGAAGTGGGCAGACTCGGTCAAAAGGAAGTCCTGCACCCCACCCTCAGGGAGAGGCCCCGAGGGAAAGTCCTACTTAGCTCTTTGTATCTGTTTCCTTAGTGAAAAAACGGGCTGGGAATTCTGCATCAGAGACCTCAGGGCCTTGGGCTCAAGGTCTCATTAAACCTTGGTTGAAGAGAAAACAGGCCTTAGCGGGCCCGGCCCCTGGAAGTGGACCAGGCGCCACAGGTACAAACTCACCACCAGAAACTCTGGGGAAGGTCTGTTTACCTAGCTCACCTGGTTTCTGGGCTAAGGCATTTCCCGCCCACCTTTGTATTTGGCGAAGTAAACGTGCTTTCAGCATCAGCTGGCCTCTAGCTTCTACAGGGAAAGGAAACTTGGTACCAGTTGCATCTATTTCCTCCCTGAGCCCTGGTGATCTGAGGTTCCTGCTTAACAGGGAAAGAGGACACAGGATCTCCTTTGTTCGGGGCATGGACAGAAAATCCCTTTATCCCCAGTTGCAGCGTTGGTGCAGCAAATTTGAGAAGTTTTTTTTAAGGCTATTTTTAATCTTTGTCCTTGGGGTTCAGTGGTTTTCAAACCATTTAAATAAAATTCCTGGATCAAGCCGCCCCTCCCCCTCCTGAGATTTGGTGGGACTGGATCTGGCCTCCCTTCTGTCTCCCTTGACCAGGGTCATGTGAGACGCTACCAGTAAGCAGGTGCCAAGTGAAATTCAAGGACTCGGTCCAGCCTCATCCTATAAAAGAAGCTCCATGCTTTAGCTTGTCTTGGGCCACATACCTACTTCATGATGAGGCCCAGAACAGAGGACAAATTCTGCCCATTTCTCTGTCCACTGCTGTGTGATCCCTGTTACTCATACAACTTCTGGCTAAACCAGTGCCCCTCAACAACCCCGGAGACACAAATAGAAAACTATTATGAGAACCTTTTTGAAAGGATTTTAAAGTATTTTTCCTTCCAGATAAGGAGGAAAACCAATATCCACCAAGTGTCCAAGACCCCCAAAGAGAGAGAAAGAGCTCCAATGTGAAAGCTTGACGTTTTTAAAATCATAAAAATAAAATTTTCTATTCTACCTTTATGGGTGAGCCAAAATTCATGGTACTTGAGAACTATGGATTTTTACTGCTAAGTCTGGCTGTGGATCATGTATGAATCTTGAAAACTCTATATGTCCTCTCTTTCACAGTATTTTTGGGTTCAGCAGCTCGTCAGAAAAGGCAAGTGGAATAATTTACCTTCTTCATTCATGGAGTTAACTTTGCTGTGGACATGATTTCATCTAACTTTATTCTGCCCTCTAATCCCTCCCTTCAGGTGATGCTTCCGCAGAGATGAGCGTGTACGCCAGCTTGTTTAAGGAAAACAACATTACAGGAAAGCGCCTGCTTCTCCTGGAGGAAGAAGACTTGAAGGACATGGGCATTGTCTCCAAGGGGCACATCATTCACTTAAAGGTACCTCAGACAGGGGGAGCAGGCAACAAATCTTCACTGAGCATGTAGTCTGTGGGCGGCGGAGGACAGATACACAGCTGCGCTGGTTGTACGGAACCGTGTCCACACCAGCTGAATATTAGCTGCTGCCCCTGTGGGACCCTACTTCCTCCTCATAAGCCAACAACAAAAGGGTTAATACCTGACCCAGCAGAGGTCACCTGGATACTCCTGATGATCTCAGGAAGTCTCTAAGAGGAGAAGATAGGTATTAATCATGCAACATCGGTAACATGACACATGTAAGAAATGCCACAAAGAAGAGGTGAGGTTGGGATGAGGAGGGGCTTCTGTGAAGAAGTTGTGAAGGAGGTAAGAGCTGAAGAACAAGAAGGTGTTCCCCAGGTGAAGGGGTAGGAAGAGGTGTTCTGGGGGGAGAGTATGCCTGTGCAAGGCCGGGGAGGGAAGAAGCTTGGTGTGCCAGAGGAGCCAGAAACAAGGCGGTGGGTGCCTGCAGAACTGGCGTCCCACCCAGAATAGCAGGATGCAACCTCGTTTAGGCCAGAGAGGCTAGGTATCCATTAGGAATCCCTGAGGATGACGGAACTTGCCCATGAACTGGGAAGAACCTGAGCCACTGAAGTACCTCAGAAGATAGGAATGTGTGTGTGTTCAATTTGCAATCTTCATAATTTTGATCTGTAATAGACACCATACATGTACTTTAAACTTTCATTTTCTCAGGAAATTCTCACATTGACCCCATTAGTCCTGAACAGTTCCAAAGCTAAGCCTCTATTTTTATTGTATTGTATTTTATAAAACAAACACACCAACAGATCTGGTAGTAACCAGATCTGTGGGTGTGTTTGTTTTATTTTAAAAAAAAAAAAAAAAAATATATATATATATATATATATATATATATATATAGTATATTTTATTGATTTTTCACAGAGAGGAAGAGAGAGGGATAGAGAGTTAGAAACATCAATGAGAGAGAATCATCGATCAGCTGCCTCTTGCACACCCCCTACCGAGGATGTGCCCACAACCAATGTACATGCCCTTGACTGGAATCAAACCAGCGACCTTTTAGTCCGCAGGCTGATGCTCTATCCAAATCGGTTTTGGCTTATTTTTTAAATATATTTTATTGATTTTTCACAGAGAGGAAGGGAGAGGGATAGAGAGTTAGAAACATCGATGAGAGAGAAACATCAATCAGCTGCCTCATCCACACCCCCTACTGGGGATGTGCCCGCAACCAAGGTACATGCCCTTGACCAGAATCAAACCTGGGACCTTTCAGTCCCCAGGCCGACGCTCTATCCACTGAGCCAAACCAGCATGTGTTTGTTTGTTTTAGTTACTGAAACCAAATAAGAATTTCTGGCATCTTTGCAGCATTGCTATTAATCAGAGGTCAATTTTGAGCAAGATCTTAGGACAAAATCAAGTTTACTCCCCAAACTTCCTCAGCCCCAGGGTGGGGTGGATGGAGGGGTGGGCACAGGTTAGAAAGGAGAGAAATGGAATAAGGAAGGGAATGTAGAAAAGCAGCTTCCATCCAAATCCACATCTTCGCAAAGCCTCAACCAACATGCCACCTATTTTCCTCTTTGCCTCAATTAGAGACCCTGACACTAGCCTTTCTAGGGAAACCCCCTGTGGCCCAAAGAGAACCATCTATAATACTTGCATGTTTTGTGGGCTCTGGATCCATGGAAGGGACCTCCTTACAGCCCTCAGCAGCCCTAAGTGATGGCTTAGCCTCAGCCTTAATGCCTTTTCCCTCTCAATAGATGGGCAGGAAACCTCATGCATACGCATACACCTCAAAGGCTGGCACATATTCATTCAATCTCGACCTCTGGGTGTGGGCAAGTCCATCCCCAAAAGTTATGCTGGCTTAGCTGGCCTATAGCAGGAAAAAAATATTTTTCTAGTACAGAGAAGTGTCGGGGTTCCAAGAGAGAAATCTGGTAAAGTTTACGTTATTTGACAACTGCCCAATAAGATACTCCCACCTCCCCTTCCCCTCTGCTAGCTCTGAAAAGGGGGCACACTCCTTAAGGAGCAGTCAGGAAGAAATTGGGGGACAAGCTGTGACACCTCACCAAAGCCCATGGTGATGGAAATATTCCCAGACTTGGCCTAGGACAGTCAGAGTGCCCTGTGCATGCCAAGTCGGTATCATGAAGGCAAGCAGTGTCCAAACCTATTGGCTATTGTTCAACAAATTCAGCGAATGCCTACTCATTGCAAGACTGGGCCTGAAAAAACCCACAAAGGCGAATTCTTCCCAAAGGAATGTGTGTCCCGGAGAAGAAATAAAGCATGCTCATACAACTTCTCATAATACAGGGTCTTGGCAATTTGGAGGGAAGTTACTACCACATTACCTCCTCTTGAGTAGGGCAGTGGGGGGCGGGGGAGATAGAGAGGGAAAACATCAGGGAGTGGGTGCCCTTGAGCTGGATCTTGAAGGAAAGACAAAATTTGGAAGGTAGATGTAAGTGGGAAAGGACAAAACATCAGTCAAGACAGAGAGAAGAAGGAGTTAGAGGGAAAAAGAGCAGCAGAAGAGAATCCAAATGAACAGTGTGTGTCTCCGTCCGAAGGAAGGCCAGGTGCAGGGAACTCAGCATACCCAAAGCAGGGTATGGACAGCGTATGACTTCAGGCCTGGGAGCTGAGGTCTGGGGGGACTATTGGAAATTTTGAGAATTGACATGTTTAGAACTTTGCTTCTGGAAGTTATCAAGTGGGTTAGAAAGGAAAGGCTGGATTTTGAAAGACCAGTTCAGAGGCTGTGGTATAGAGAATAATAAGGCCTCTCCAGGGTAAGAACATGTGAATGGAGAGAAGGAAGGGCAGCCCAGCTAAGAGAGCTGTAGGAAGTAGCACAGGGAGCAGAGAACAGTGTCACAGAAGCCAGAAGTTGTAAAGCTTTATGGAAATGCTCCATGCTACGGAGAAGCCCAGGAACACACTCGCAGAGAAAACACCACTGTGGGAAGCTGCCGGGAGTGGGGGTGCGGCAGTGCAGTGTCCTTTGCTACAAAAGGGAGTGTGGCACCCTCAAGATCCTCTCAAGCTCCCAGGTGAGTCTGCATGTGGTTCTCAGAGTGGTGGACCCTCCACCTGAACGCCAGAGCCAGCCTGTCTTAGAGGAACATGTAGTGGGCTCAGCCATCAGGCAGCACTCTGTTAAATTCAGCTACATGGCAGGTAATTCTGACAAATAAGCCTATATAGGAGAGAAGAAAATTAAGGGAAAAGAGTCATGGAAATTTGCTCCAGGAGGGAACTGCATATACTTGGGGTACTGAGGATACACAATGCTTCAAGCTGGGCCTTTTGGGATGGGGTACTGAATGAGTACCTCCAGACTAGAGCAGTCCTGGTGGTACTTGTCAGAATTGTTACACACACACACCCACACACACACTGGTGGGGAGAATGGGCCCTTCATTCTCTGTTCTTTCACTAATGCAGGCACAGGCATTGTTGTTTACATTCTCTAAGAGTCTATGCCCTTCAACAGGAGGTCATTGAAGTGGTCTCCGACCCTTCTGCTGCTCAGTGGTCCCTTTGAGCCTGTCTTGGCTCCCTCATGTGGAGGGGCCGCATATAAGGGACAGGGCTGAACATCCAATAAGTGTTCACTACATTGTCAAATGTCAACAGCTTTCATTTCACTTTATAAGATGCACTTAATTTTTCTCACATTGGCACTTTTTACTCTCTACATGATATGTTCAGTTCACAGAAAAGCCAGATTACACCTGATGAGTATTAAAAAAAGAATCATAATTTAAATTGTCCTCCTGTCCTTTAAGAGTTCTTTGTGCTTCGTTGGGGGAGGGGGTGTTGGATGCATACCCATAGAAAAGCCCCTACAAAGCAGCAAACCCTTCGGTGAGATTTCAGCCTTAATGAAGGTCTCTGGTGACATATTCATGTGCTTTGTTGTTTTTCCCAGTTACTCGGGGTGACAACTGCACTCTTTACACCAGAACACCAATTTGTCACTATTGTACCTGTGATTGAAGAATGGTTTTATTTATTATTTCGTCTGAGATTTAAATTCTTAAATATCTTCCTGTTCCATTAAATAATTACAAACAGTATATAATACTGTGAACAGTCAGGGTTATTCTCCATAGATATTGGATATTAACACCCCCAAGATATTTTATGAACCACATAAAGAATGCCTTTGTATGTGCACAATAATTGTAATCCTCTCGGCATTATCAGACCATTAATAAAGCCATGTGATTTTTTTTTTTTACAGTCAGCCATTGAGAAATTAACTCATGATTATCTAAACTTGTTTCACTTCCCACCGCTAATTAAGGTAAGCAAGGTTCTTTTCTTACTGAGAATATGCTTTTATCGACATATGCACCTGCCACCTCCACACCTAAGTTTGCCAATGTCGGGAACTGTTGTTTGAAGTGAAATTTAATCATAGCTGTCCAACAACAGGCCCTTTGAGTGAAGCTCAGGATGTGTTTAAATTGAACACCCTTCTTCCCCGATAGTTGAAACATTAACAATGCATTCATGATAAGAACCACACATGTCACCTTAGTGGCTACCAGCCTCTGGCCTCCCGCCTGTTTCTGGAGACCTTTGCCTGACCCTTAAGCCACTGAAGGAATTCACATGCCTGAGCTCAGGATGCTCACTTGCATTTTGGGGTGGGAGGCCTATTGTTTGGGCAGCATATTTGTATATGTGACATATTCTTTTGAATATAGTCTAAAGGTATATGATATACTTTGTTATTAAATAAGTTGATACTTGCTCTCTTTTTTAGATTTTTAAATTTTTTTATTTTAAGAAAATACAGAGCTGGGATAATTTTACTTCTACTGTGGTCGATATAATAGATCTTTGAAAACCTAAGTAAGCTTACTGACTGCCAAACCTTTCTCGTTATTTAACTGTGCTTAATTTCCACACTACCAGTTGTTTTTATGGCTTATATTCTCACTGAACCAGTTTTTGACATCCTTTAAAATGACTGAAAGACAAAGGTCTCCAATATCTATGAAATAAGTAAATGCATATTAATAAGAATTAGAACACTTACTCCCTTCAGGGAAAAACAAACAAACAAACAAACAAACAAACAAAAAACATTAGTGGCTTGTTCCTGAATTGTCTATGTGTCACTTAAGAAAATTCACTTGGGAATTTTTGTTTCCATTTTGATAGCAAATATCATACTTCTGAGAAGCCATTCACCAGTCTTAAGCCCTAAACTCACATCCCATATCTTAATCTCCAGACACTTGCTCTTAATACACAGAAGTCTTCTCATTCATTAGCAAGTATGGTTTTCCATCTCTAAGCCCTAGAAGGCTCATTTGTTCCTCTGTTTGGTCCTCCATCCGCTTATGCTCTCAGAACCGCTAATTCCTCTTTGGAAAGAGTTTGTAAATATTTTGAGTGCTGTGAAACGCTCAAGGTAAAGTCTCTCAGTGCGTCTCCAGGTGCTCGGTGCATTTCTGGGGTAAAATTACACAATGAAAGAAGCACCGTGAAAAATGTAAGCCGGTGACCTTCAACCTGGAGCGTGTCAGATAAATCATTCGGGAAAGTTCTCAAAAGCTTAAGATGTCATTCTATTGCTTTACATAACTGTAATTTGAAGTTTATTCCAAAAAATAACCAAAAGTTTAAAAATATGTTAGAATGGAACAACTGGTGCTGAGAAATCATCTCTTTTACCTGAGAAGGAAAAGTGAGAATTCTATCTGGAATAAATGGCGTTTGGTTTTCTGTTTTAGGACTCAATTGGTGAACCTGAAGAAAATGAGGAAAAAATAGTGAACCTTGAACTTGTTTTTGGTTTTCACTTGAAGCCAGAAACAGGCCCAAAGGTAAATTGCATTTTAAGTTGTTTGGATAAATTTAAACCTCATGTATTTTCTTCTCTCCTGGTATTCTGGGGTTTTATATACCCACTCCTTCCAGAGGGTGACTTGACTCTAAATAAATTTATAGACTATAAAATAGACTTCAGTTGAAACTCTGCCAGGTGCCTCTGTAATCCCATCTAGGAACCTGACTCTCTCGCCACCCAAACCTTCAAGGAAACAGTAAAGCGTGGACAGGGAGGGGTGAATACGGACTGAGTGCTTATGCCTCTTTGCATCACTGCTGCTTGTTTCCTGTCTCCTAAGGGGAAGCAATTTTTAATATTAAGAGTAAAACAACGCTGAGAATGGAACAGTAGGCAACATGGAAACTCAAATTATCAGCTCTAAGTAGGGTAGCAGGACATTTGACCAAGATTCATTCAGGCAGGCTTTCACCCACGCAGCATATGAATTGGAATCATAACAGGATTGTGTTACATTGGATTCCCACAGATAACTAGCAATAATGATACCTTCTAATTGAGCACATAGGACGTTCCAGGTATGCAGCCCTGAGTGTCGATGTTGTTTTCACCCATTTACAAATGGGGAAACTGAGGCTCTGGAAGATAAAATAACTTGTCCAAGGGTTACATGGCTAGCAATTAGCAGAATAAGGATGTGAATGCAGGCCTCTCAGACGCCAGAACCAAGCTTTTAACTACTGCACGATTTGTACCTTTCCTTGGAGGTGGCCTGAGATCTTGTACATAAATGCAGCTCCTCTAAGCATGTCAAACTCAGGACTGGCAGGCCACAAGGGATGCATACGGCCCAGCCGGGAGTTTGACATGCTTGCTAGCCAGTTCTGGTAGGGCTGGTGTCAGCCCACTGGCTCTTCACTAATTAAAGGAAGCTGACCCAGGCCATACCTGGAACTAGTGCTTGGGAATGAATCAAAATTGTTGCAAAGGGTTGAAATTTCACCAGGGACTTCCAAAGATGCTCTTTCTAGACACCTGACAGTGTCTTTCCTGCGCTGCTGCAGCTGTATTGATGCGTTTGCTGAAGGGAAATATTTACTTCCCTAATTGAGCCACATAACTTGGTGGAGTGAGAGCCGCTCTCTCTCCAGGTGTCCTGTCTTTGAATATTTTTCTTTTTCCCTCTGCAAATGGGCCATTGTCTACTTATGCCTGTTGTTAGAAACAGCCACAGAAAGGGGGAAGGACAGGAAGTTCCTCTCTCTCCAACAGCAAGCACAGCACCTTCTAACCCTGAGACTCTGTAGCGGTGAGCACCTTTGAGCCATCTCATGTTAAACAAGTTGCACATTTTAATTTGCCTTGTTTAGTATCCTCGGCCTCGTGGCACTTAATTGATGGGTATTCGGTGTTTAAATGTTTTTATGGCTTGTAGGTGATAAAAGAAGAGGAAAGAACTTTCTTGAAACAGACTTAGTCAAAGATGGTCTCAACCAAGAAAATAATTTTCAACTAACAAAGAAATGATTTGTTAATGTGGAAAACTAGAAAATGATTGCTTAGTAAATATTAGAAACTATAAATGACATTTGATACCAAATGCAGCGGTCTGTTTTTGACCATAATTGTGTAGACTTCTTGAGCCATTGGTTACTCACAAAGCCTAAACTCACCACAACCTTTGATATTCTGCTGGTCCTTGGTCACCCGCGTGGAGGAATTTCCCCTATTCATTCAGCACACATTTACTGAGGACTTCCATTGTGCCTAGCTCTAGGCTAAATACTCAGGGCCCTTACATCATACAAAGTCAAAAAAACAGTTACGGCTTGCAAGGAGCCAATAGCTTATCAAGCTGTGGCGGTGCAGTGCCTTGGGTTCAAGGACACTCTGAGACGGGCTTGAAAAGTCTTGGTCACCAGCTGGAGATGGGTGCCTGGAAGGGAGGAGCCGGGATGGTACCAAAGATCTAGTGTGGCAGCAGGACAGGTGATGTCATAGTGTAATAGGTCAAAAGGTGAAAGTCAATGTGGATGTAATGCCAAGGTGCTAATAGTATAAAGAAACAACTGAAATGGGTGAGTGTAACCAGGAAAAGCTTTTTTGGAAGGGATGAATTTTGAAACAGGCCTGAAGGGGTTGTTTGCAAATAACTCCCTGAATATACTGTTTTAAAGCTTATGCTTAGAGAGTACTTCTTTCTAAAGAGCGAAGGTTATTCCATAAATGTCATCTCATTTATCCCCCTGGCATTTCTGTGAGAAATACTGGGGGAACTGAGGAAGGGAGAGGTCAAGTTTTTCATCCAGAGTCCCACCTAGTAAAGGGCAGAACCATATTGTCATACTGTCTCTTTTTGGAAGTATCATCACCCCCCTAGTATATTAGTAATAAAAAAGCAAGAATTGTTGGTTAGTTAATACTAAATTGCCACTTCGTTTTGTATAGAAAGTGCCTTGCGTTTTGTAATCTAAGGCCTTTTAAAAAAAATAAAAATGTGTTTTTATTGATTTCAGAGAGAGGGAAAGAGAGAGAGAAATATCAGTGTTGAGGGAGAATCATTGATTGGCTGCATCCTGCACATCCCCACTGGAGATCAAGCCCAAAACCCAGGCATTTGCCCTGACCGGGAATCAAACCTTGACCTGTTCATGAGTGGACACTCAACCACTGGGCCACACAGTCTGGGTATTATCTAAGGCCTTTGATTTGGCACAAAGGAAAGGAGCTCCCAGAGTCCCAGGCAGCTTCATGCACTCCTCAGGGTGGCAACCATCCTTTTTCACTGAAATATTCTGCTGCATAGAGTGTATTATTATATCTGTAAGAAACTCACCAGTCAGGAATATTGATTCTCAAATTGCCAAGGAATAAACTATCAAATCACCCAGCAGTTTTCTCACTAGGATCTTTCTGAGACTTCATGCCATAAAAATTCAAAAGCAGAGTTACGAAGGACTAGCGATTCATTCCTTGTTGGCAGTCACACACTCGGTCCCTTCCTATCCTGATGTCCTCCTTTTCCCAGGGAGGTGAGGAACCCTGACTGCGGCTGGGCTCCTGTGGGTAGATGTTGACTGCCTGCCATTCGAGAAGAGACTGGGGTTGGAAAAGCTTCACAAACAGCAACGTCTCTCCCAACACCCGGCTTCAGAGGCCCTTACACAGAGATAGGCTTCCGCACCCCAATCTGTCTCACCAGATGACCATCTCTTCTGGTTTCTTTTATATATATTTGTTTATTTATTTTTTACAGAGAGGAAGGGAAAAGGATAGAGATTTAGAAACATCGATGAGAGAGAAACATCCATCAGCTGCCTTCTGCACAGCCCCACTGGGGATGTGCCCGCAATCAAGGTTCATGCCCCCAACCGGAATCGAACCCTTCAGTCCGCAGGCCAGTGCTCTATCCACTGAGCCAAACCGGTTAGGGCTCTTCTGGTTTCTTTTGAGCCGTATTTTGAAGGGGCCTGTTTAGAAGAAAGGGGAGCAGCACTAAGTGCCCATCAGAGCGAAGGCTTTCCCTGTCCTCTCCCATGTCCTCTTTCCTCGCCGTAATTGTCCCCTTCTCCCACTCCACTCTCCGGTTCTTTCATCTATAGGTTAAAAAGCTGCTTTTTACCAATACTTCCCACTCACTATTGTGCTTTTAGGTCTTTATTAGATTGCTTTATAAAATGTTGCATTTAATAAACTTAATTGAATCTCCAGGCCCTTTCTCACAGCACTATGAATATCAAAAACGGTCAAATAAGGCTTTTTTCTCCCATTGTGTAATTTTTGTAAATGGATAAACATGAATAAAATAACAGGGCACAAAGAAAAGGATTTTGTAAGGAAGTAAAAAGCCAACACCTTTTGTAAATTTCAGAACAGCTAAAACTAGCACCTTCTTTACTTTTATAGATCTTGCATTTATTAAAAATTCAGTGTAGGGAAATTCACTTCCCATGTTCATTTATTTTGAGGGGTAAATATATGTACACACATGTTTGTGTGACCAAGTACATAAGCTTGCAGTGATATGGTTCTATCGGAAACCACATTTTAATTGACAGCGAAGGAACAAATTCAGTTCGGAATTTGACTACACGACATGCTGCTGATTTCTAATTAGAGCGTGGAGATAGACTTCACATGGCTTGAGCAGTGGCCTGTACAACTAAGCGGACCTGGGAGAGGTGCTCAGTTCATACTTGCCAGTGATGAGTGGAAATAGCATGCCAGAAAATGTCTAACAACTGGAAAAAGCAGCCCTCGTCGTGTTTGCAGATTTCCATGGTTTAAATAAATACTCCCACCACGGCCAAGTTCAAGTTACCAGACATCACTGAACTTGGAGCCAGAGAGAGATGTGAGCCCTCATGCCATGAGAGCTGGCTCCAGCACACCATTGCATCCCTCTTGGTCTTCTTAGTCAAGATTCTGAATTCCTTTTAAAATAGCTAATAGCAAGGATCTCGTGAAAAGACTTTGGTCTGAACAGATTAAAAATACATCGTCACTGGTTTCCAGCTGTAATTGTATGCAGAGTTAGTTCAAAGGGAGTTCGAGCCTCTCAATGACTCCATTGTTAGTTAGCTTAGGTCACCTCGAGTCGCACTGGCTCATACAGATGCACTAATCATATTGTATGAACCAAAGATTAGGATTTGAGTTTGTATTCATGGAAATACATATGGAAATAAACAAAATTTTAATTTGTGATTGTTTTTAAGATGTTGGAACAGTTGTAGTTGTTGACTCCAGGATGTTGATAATAGTAGAGGAGATGTCTGCTTTTAAACGTGGGTTTCCCAAAGCTTCTGGGGCTCATTGAAAGTTCGGCAGAGAGAAGACTTCAGTAACTCACAGTGACCTGTGTTTTCTGAACCAACAATTAATCGTCAGCTATAAGAGAGAGAGATGGTTTGAAATGAAATTAACTGCAGCATATTGTAAAAGCAAAGATGTATGACGACTGTGTCAACCGTGGACATTAGGATTTGGACTGAGAATAGCTCAACTGGTAAACTATTAAGTAGGCTAGTGGTTCTT